CCCCCCCCCCCCCCCCCCCATCTCTTGGCTACGGGCCTGTGCTATTAACGGCAACTGGCAAAGCATTCAGACATTATAAGTCCAAGTGTGAAATGAGAAATAGCAGACTATTATAGAACTTTTTGTGTGGCACAGTAGCTGTTCCGCACGTGCTGCCGATGGATTTATTCCCCGCGCACGTGTTCAACATAAGCCCGACGCGATAGTTCTTTGGAAATGCGAAAGGAATCCGAATTTTTATAATGTTTTTTACGTATGTGACTACAACAGACTGTGTATCTGTGTCAGGGTCGCAATAAAAAAGAATCGGTACTCGTAACTGGTTATTATTTTTGTGCTTTAAATTCCTGTATCAAATATTGTGTTAAATATCCGTCAATATTATGTACATTGTTATTCCCCAGTATACAAAGCTAGAGTAAAATATAGTCCATATGGCTGTGAATTCAAATCACCTAGAAACCGAATGGGCTGTAAATTGTATAATTTGAAGTAAGGCTATTTCATATGTTTGTTCATATGCAATTTCAATCTGACCACTTTCTTGAAAGTTTCCTGTTTTAACTGAAATTGTCCCATATGTTAAAAGAGAGTTGCAATCTTTTCCCGCTCAGCTGACTTCTCTTGATATTATTTTAACGAGTTTAGCTGCATCAGTATAAAATACAACAGTGCCACACATTAACTTTCTCCCTGACTTGCACAATAAATCTCGTTAAATGAGTCATAATTGTAACAAAATATGTTCCCTTAAAAACCATTCACTTCAAGCAACAGTTTTAAACGCCGCAAGCGCAAAATTACCCTGTGAGCGAAAGATTTCGGAAAGATTTTTAAGGACAAGTGAACGTCAAACTTTGGCCTCCTTCTTGGTAAAGGATTGAAACGGCTTGTCTGAAACGAGCACTTTGTAACAGTTTGGTTTCTCTTCGTGATCTGTGGACAAGCATCCACCCAGCAGTCGATTTTCATTTTATACATCTACTTAATATGGCTGATTCCTTGCTGAGTTAGACTTAAATAGCGTTTAATAGAAGAAATGGTCATGATGTCAGGGACTGTGGGTCGAACTAATGTCTTGATAACAATCACGGCAGTGCTTTCAGTGTGCACTCTTTCTTGGACACGTATTAACAGTCAAGAGGTGAGTGAAAACTTTCTTCATTTACTTGGTTGGTCAGTGTTTGAGAAATGTATAGGGTTCCTTATACGATCCATGCAATACGTATATGTACCACAGTCAAATAGTTTTCATATCATGATCAAGAGGAACTGAGACAGTTTGAAGGCATCTTAAAATAGAGTAAACCGGATCAAAATATATTGTCAATTTTGTATATACAGAATGTATTTATTAATATATTTGTATTGTTGAAGTACGGATTTTACTCATATTAAGCAAAATAAAATTTTGCCGAATTAGGGGACCATTTCTTATCAATTCATACCGGTATGTTTTCAGATTGATAATCTCACCACTCAGTGCAAAAACTACCAAGATTTGACTCCATTGCTGATTCATCTGCAAGCCATCTCGCAGCTTCTGTCCGCCCAAAACATGCAACTGAACGCTCAGAACGGATTACTTCGTCTCCTGCAGCAGCAGCTTTCTTCCCACAGCTCCACCACGGAACACATATCCCAGAATTCCAACGCCGATATGGCGGCAATTCAAAAGCACGTGCTCTTAGTAGAAGAGAGACTAGGAATAACTTTGAAGCAACTGAATGCAGATATGATGATGTCCTTTGAGATACTTGAAGAAAAACTCAATAAAACTTTATCTTTGAATATCAACAGGAATAAAAACATCATCAAACCCATAGGAAATACGGAGTACCCTACTTCCTTCAAGGGCGGCCAAGAATCCTGTGTTAGTGTGTGTACCAAAAGTAAGTATTAAGTGGAAAAAGTGAAACTAGAACATTACAGGCCTAAGCATCTTTATCTTTTTTTTTTTTTTTCGTTAAATATACATATAACACTTTATTTTTGTCTTTGGTGACAGATGTTATGGGTCTATATAGAATAAATACTGGCTGAAGTTCATTACACTATATTTTTGCACCATGCCTTGTAACTGACCTCTAACGTGCTTTAATTTTTGTCCATTAGCTCCAGTTTTCCATGTCGAATCAGAACATGGACAATACAAGCTGACGTTCGCCAAAGCGCAAGCGCAGTGTGAGCTCTTGGGCGCGACTATAGCGACACCTATCCAACTGCAGGCGGCTCATGATGACGGTCTGGACGTGTGTAGATGGGGCTGGGTGTCAGACGGGACGCTGCGCATGCCTATACGTTATCCGCGCCCGGGGTGCGCCGATGAGGAGTCAAGGGCCGTTGTCGTGGCAGACGCCAGAAATGCTACCTCGGTAGTGCCACTGAATGGTTTGGCGGACGTCTTTTGTTTCAGACTTCAGATATAATAACTGTTTCCCATTCTCTCATTCTTATGTTTCAATATACTGTAAGAGGATATGACAGTTCTACTTACGCGCTCAGTTGGGGGTTTTGTATTCAAGCCGTATACTGTGGAAACAATTCGACCAAAACCATCCCTAATATTTTGTGTTTACCAGTGGGACATCTACTCCATTGGTTTTGAAAGGCCTATTTCAGTTGTAGTCACATACATGTACACTGATAGCAATACATGTAGGCCTACAGTGCATTTAACATCAAGTCTAATGCGCAGTCAAATTTAGATTTATCTACAGAACTGGGACAAATTAGCTCGTGGCAATATTGCTATATCATTAAGCACACTTTCGTTCAGTCTCATAAGCTATCTGGAAATTATCTGCAATTAAGTCTCTGTTCAAAGCTCCTTTTTAAGCACAAGACACCTACAGCTGTTTTTGAATAAATGCGATAGAGGTGCCGTGCGTTTCGTTTTCTCCGTCTTCTCTGTGCTGACATTTAACACTTTTTAAGGAGCAAACTATTGGCTGAACGTAAGCCTATTCTATGGAGCATGTTTTGATGGCGTTTTAGATACTTTTCCAGAAATATTTGACTTTAACTTCGCCATGTTTCATTATTTCCTTAATAAGTCTGGATTTTTAAAAACATTTTCTTCAATTGGCTATTTGAAAAGCATTTGTACGAGTGTCAATTTGCTCATATGCTGTACCTCATTCGTCAAAAGGAAAACGGCTTAAAATTCTCGAAGGTAAGAGACATAGCAAGTTCTAGAAAGCTCACTTACAATCTTATTTATAAGCTTAATTATCCGATAAGTAAAAATATGTTGGCAACGACTCAAAATTGCAATAGGTTTAATCTTTGTCATTACCCATATGCATAATCAATATTTCATTTACTAAAGCACTCTGTTTTCCAGAACAGGTCATGCTAAGTGATTTTCCTGTGCAAAGCACCATCTATTCGCTTTTCTTGACAAAATCTTCAAATTGATCTCAGCAAGTATTTCCATGTACTGGTAACTGTATGTTATGAAATAAACACAATCATGGGTTTTTCCTCGGAGTTTCTAACACTGCGAAAGAAAAATGGCCATAATCGTCTGTTGCTGACTTGGAAATAAACCCCGATAGATAACAAAAAGGACAAAGTTATTAAATACAGGTATTTATTAATTATGTAACCGGTAGCTTACGAGTTGTTTTGATTGTCCTATACGCATAAACAGTATTTAACGGTCCTTTTATCCTTAACAATAAGATATGTAGAATAATCATAAATTTGTTGATACAAGTATAATATTATTCTAATTCATTATAACTGGTAGAACAGAACTTCAAACAGAAAATACGCACAAGAGATGAATAATAATTAAGATTGTCTTGAATAATGGTACTGCAGGCCCGTAGCCAGCAATTTCAAAAGGGGGGTTCTTTTTCTGAAAAAGTGGACCTTTTCCCATAAACACTTCATGTACTTAGATCAAATTTTAACCAAAGTGGACCTTTTCCCAGCAAAAGGGGCGGTTCTTTCGAAACCCCCGAACCCCCCTGGGTACGGGCCTGTACTGTTTAATAACTTGGATTGAGCCACTGTATTTTGATTGGATTTCGTGGAAGGATTGTCGTGCGCTTGAGGCAGTAATGGTTGCTTTGTAAAGGAAGGGAGAAGCAGCGTTTGGCGCTTCAGTAGAGATATGCATTTGTCTTTCTTCCAAATTTCTCCTTGATAATGTTGACCAAGAGCTGCTGCCCATTTAATTTGATTTCGTTGATAGAATCTGATCTTAACCATTTATTTTTTGGTCAAAATGAATAAAAAATAAGATTGTCGAGAAGGCTATATCCCATAGTTTTTTTTTCAAATATATATATAATCAGATAATTATAAAGGGCCTCCGTCTAAGGAATCCTCTAAAAACGAATCACTAGATGTCGCTGCGGGGCTGACGCACTCATAAGGTTGCCAGACAACAGGTTTATGGCCCTGCTCCTGTTCTTTCTGTTGGAGAAGAGTGTGTATGTCTTGACCCGACAATAACTCGGTCATGAATGAAATGTACAAGATAGCCAATCGGAGCGTCTGTATCCGTGACAGTCGTTTCTCGTGGGGGAAGCTGGGAACTCTGCGCCGCAGACGATCAAATGCTGTGTTCAGATTTATCATTCCTAGGATGAAGATGAGAGAATGAAGGGAAATTTTCATTACACATGTACTGGAAAAAATATTTATTGTCCTACCTTCTCTGACTTACAACTTTGTCACTGTGCTTTGTATAATGTTCTTTTCCACAAGCAAAGCGTTAAAGGAATATACATACACAAAATTCTCAATGAACGTTTTTTTTTTTTAATTATTATTATTAACCGTAACTAAAATGATATATCGTTGAAACAACACAAATAGCTAACTCTTTAATGTATAATCAATTCATGGGGATACAGATATCTAGGACACTTAATATCTTCAATATATATAGCATAAAATTATTGCTTGTATAAATAGACATGCAATGGTAACGTTTCATAAACAGTGCCACCATATATCATGTATAAATAAAGAGGCAGTGAATATAAACCTTGACTAAAAATCAGATCGCGTCAAAAAGGCTCAGCTACATCTAGGCGTTTGTCTTTGAGACTGAATTTCAATCTATATTATAAATCAATTTGTGTTAGATTCAACACTGTAGGAGATGGAAAACCGAAGAAATGTGGGATGCGTAGTGTCAAATAAGTCTCTCTCTTTCTCTCACGCACACAAGCACACAAAACTACACACACACACACACACACACACACCCACACACGCATTTCTTCTTACTTCGTCTTTCCCTAATGTTCGCCGCTAAGCGTTGTGCGGGTGTCGTCTTCCGTTTCCTTTTAATAGCCTGTGTCGAGAGACCGCCGTTCAGTGCCCCGGGAATTTGTGTGAGACCAAAGTCACCTGGTCGTCCTAGGGCCCTGGTTACAAGTAATAATAATAATAATAATAATAATAATAATAATAATAATAATAATAAATAAATAAATAAAAACAAATCATTTTTATGGAGCATTGCGTGCCCAATTAGCAACCTTTATTTTGTATCACCTTTATTTTGTGTCACTTGATGAAGGCAACATTGTTACCACACCAAATCAGTTTTCCATTTTAAAATCGTTTCGCCATACAGATCACCAGTTTTGATTTTCCTTGAATAAGGATTTCTCCGCCAAAACAACAGTGACCTGATTTTTTCAATAGGAAAAATGCAAATCACCTATATTTATGCAAATGGAAATATATCACATAACAGCAAAGGCTACACTATCCCAAATTTATTAGCAGTCTAAATTAGCAAAGGCTACCCCAAATTTATTAGCAGTCTAAATTAACTAAGTTTCCGTCTTCATGGTTATCGTTTAATACTATTTCGTTATTTTTCAATCAATCCCGTTTTAAAAAGACACTTGTCAGTAGATTTAAGATAAAAAAGTGTTGATATATAAAATAATAGATTGAAAATACTTTTAAGGCAAACAGTGCTTTATTCATGAAGAATTTCATATCTTTACATAGAAAACAAAAAGGAATTAGTACATCTTGGTGTTTAAATGATAGGGAATTTCAAAAAAAAAAAAAAAAAAAATTAGAATTTAGCTATACGATAGTCAAACGCTCACTGTGTGCGTTAAACTGTATAATTCAACTTACCATGAGAACATGCTGCCGTCAGACTTGCCGTCCCATATCATTGGCGTAGACGGCGTAACGTTAACGTTAATATTCTGCCACGGCGGTGAGGCGTACCCCTCCGTTCCCAGCGTCAGTGGCGTCTTCCCGTAGGCTGTCTCTGGCCCTGGCGTCGACATGAGGCGCGGTGGTGGTCTGGCGTGGTAGTCGTAGGTAGGAGCGTAGGTTGAAGATCGTGCGTAGTCAGGTGTCGTTACATTGCTTATATAGGAGTTCGTATTCACATAATACGGGTTTGTCGTTTGCGTGGAGAAGTATTCTGAGAAAGCGCTGCTTCCTGTATAATTCGAGCGGGCAGCGAGTGGATCCATATCGAAATATTGCACGTTAAATACTGGTTGTTAAATTTTTATTTCTTCTCGCTTAATTATTTAAGAAAGTTTACTGCGCAAATTCGTGCTTGCGCGAGAAAGATACGGGTGCTTAAAGACTTCTACATTCAGCGATACTCCAGTTAATCCATAAGATTTCTAGGTGCTTTTTAAACATAAGGGATATTTACTTTTAAGGTCGTGATGTGGGAGACCCCTAACCAATTCTTTGAAATGAACAAAAGGTATTATTAATGCTGTAGAGTAAACCGATCTGATAAACGCACGATTTCAGCAAATGAGGAAAATGACCCCCCTGTCGACTAGGATGCCATATTTTTTCCTGATTTCGTAAATGTGAAATGTCTTCGCCTATATATTATTTTCAGCTTATAATGAGCACGTGATATCAGATGCAATTCTCACCATCCAATGACGACATCACCGGGTGCGTTTATTTTCTTTGCATTTTCCTTTCGATTGAAATTGTTTTTTTTTCTTTGTTATGAACTTCACTAGTTGCTATCACAATGGTTCGTATTATTAGTGTGCGCTGTATTGTGACATAAAATTATGTCGACAAAAGGCAATAAACAATAAAGGCCGAAAGCATAGCAGGCAGTGTTCGTAAGATGCGGGTAGCACTCACACGCTGGCCAGCGGCGTCCCTTACCCAATTACAAGTCACCGCTGCGGTTGAGTAGAAGTGTCAATTGCCTGGAATTGTTCCTGACTCCAATCTCGCTCTTCTTTTAATGTTAATGTTTACACAGGGCAAAGGCTGGTGCAGACTTGTGGTTTTTCCTCACGCAAACGTATAGAAAGAAGAATCATTGTTTGGAGTTAACTTGAAAGTATAATTCAGATCACTGCCGATCAAGTTAAGATTTCGGAAAAAAAAAGTCATCTAATTTTGTGATAAAAATGTGTAGAGGCCTATAGGAGTTTTCCTTTGTTGTGCGATGTCTTCTTACAGCAAGAAAATAATTCTCTCGGGGTATACGCCCATCGAGTGGAATCAAGGAGAAATTTCCTGCTGGTGCAAGGGTTTCCTTATATTTCGTCTCCCGTTTTCTTCAATACATTTTTCATTGTTCAAGTGTATCCTGCGTTTGCCAGAGGCGAATCAGTCAGTCTTTTTCTTCTGCTTTATTTAATTAAATCTTATGTACATGCTGACAAAATTGTTTCGAAATACTCCCACCTTTTTATACTTTAATCGTAGAGCATCAGCGTGAAGAACGGGATAAGGAATGACCTGAAAAGATATATTTCAGATTATCTTAGCTCTTTGCTGATTTTCAGTCGTTCGTGATGACAATAAAATAATTCCTATGGTTAAGTTCTTCGGCTTCCTTCCACCGATCCTCTTTGTGTATTCTTTGTTTCGTACTTCTGCGCCAATCTTGAATTTCGTCTGTACTGACGGATTAGACAGTTATCAATTTGTTATCACGTCTTCGCTTTCTTTTCGTCTCTCACTCCGTATCAACTTTCTTCGCACAAATCAGCTCGTTGACATTTTGAAACGATTCTGGCATAACTTGTTATTCTTATTTCTTGCGAAGGTTGCGGAGTATACCGAAAAATGGAGTTATTTTGCCATCATCTCAACCATTTTATCTCATGTGTAACACAGCACGACTCCTTCCACCATTTTCACCATAAAAAAACCTCAACGTTCGACTCGCCTCAACTTATCAGTCGCACGTGCTATTGTAATTGAGGGCATATCTTTCCTTAATTTTTTGTTTCACGTCATTTAATTCCTCACAAGCGTCATATTCTATTCCCAGGACATATTTCTGTGTGTCACATGTGTTCTGTGGCGACTTATGTGCCCTAACTACATCACCACACCCTGGGCTGGACGCTTATCTACACACAGATGCATCTCGCTAGGCTGGATGTGTGGCGCAGTGGTTTTACTTTTCACAGTGTTAAGTTTAGAGAAAAAAAATAATGAACGAATAAATTTAACAAAACTGAATAAAAATGGAGTTTAATTATGAGAAATACTTCAAACAAGAATTACTTTCTAAGCAATTTTCGATGTCGTTACTTTAATACCAGTATTAACTTTTAATTTTCTCATAGATTTAAAAGACTGCATATTCATCAATCTGGCCCTCGTCAATATTTTATCAGTTCAAGGTTTCTCACGGCAATTTACTAGTGCCGATATGAGCTCAGGCAGCTTCAAAACTTATTAGAACGTGTAAAAGTCTAAATACAGTCAATAATAAAATTCGTCTGTTCTTTTGCCATTGTGATAAAGGCTAATACGTGCTACCCCCATATACTACCATGAGATGTGTGATACACTCAAAATGTGCTCACCCGAAAATCTGACGAGCGGAGTACGGTCCTTTTTTTATTCACAGCGTGTGGCGCTTTTCTGGTATAATTTTTGTTAGGTTTGTTGAAATGCCTGTGTTTGATAGTGTTCGTCTTTTATTTTTCAAACTTAAGCAGCTTAAAGAAATGAATCCATCATTGAGCTTCATATTCTCTCTCTCTCTCTCTCTCTCTCTCGGACATACTAGTCTATGAGGACACCCAAATGAAATTGAAAACTTTATTATCAATAGGGGACAATAAACAGATAATGACCCCTATAACGGCTTTGCCTGAACAATTATCACTATTCACACAGTGTCATTCACCTGGTAACAGACTGACATCGCTATTTCTTTGATGTGAACAGCCTGCCGTTGCTCGATCAGGCAAGGTTAAAAAAGACTAATTATTTAACACAGCGACGCCGCAGTAGTTCAAATATACTGTACCAGCACTGCGCATGTGATATACAGTATAACTCTGCATAGATGAAACAATCGTGTAAATCCCCAAGAAAAAGACAACACATTCAAGTAACAGAGTATCAACATCTCTCAAACACTTTATAAAGGTCTGGAAGGTTCGCGATTTGAAGAAATGAGGCATTTTCTGCAAATAATTTTGGTGGGTATAAACTTGTTCGTATGACAGGGTAGATGACATGTTCTGTGGTCCACTTCCAGGATTCACTGGAGTCTTCCTGGAAAATGAAAACAAAATGAATAAATGCTGTTCTTTTAAAACTAAAAGACGTGTGTGAAACATGTAATAGATTTTTTAATAAATGCAATGGGAGGACTCTTTTAGCCTCAATATTGTTGAGACTGTGTAATAACCATAATGGCTTAAATGAGCCATACTTATAACAATTTTATTTTCATAGTTGTGCAACTGGTTATCAGTAGGGTGAAATGCAAAGTTACTGATGTGGAAGATGTGAGGTAATGGGAGTATACAATGTGCATTACAAAATGATTAAGATGGACATTCAAAATCTATTTCACTGAGTATTTCACAGCACTCTGTAATACCTTATATTTTTTATGAAATCTCAGAATGTCTACATGACTTATCTTCTTTAACAGTTACTGTAGAAATGTGAAAGCTGTGTGATTATTGAATTTTGTTTTATTTTGAGGGATTAAAGAGAGTAAATGACTTTTGCATCTTACCTTTAATAGCTGGAAAGAGTCCTTCTTCATAGCATAGAACTCACTGGTTTCTCTAGCAAAAGTTTCAAAGCATTCTTTTTCTGTATCCCATTCCACCTGAAATAACAAGAAAATTGCTACAATTCCAATAATGGTGACAGGACAAATTAAACTATGTTTTACTGTATTTATTTAACAATTACAGTTTACCTAAAGCAAAATAAGGACAAAGAAGAAATCTGTATGGAATCTCTCTCTCTTTCTCTCTCTCTCTCTAGAAACTCATCAGAGAGAAACACAAATGAAATACAAAAATACACAAATTAAAAGCATAAAATACAATTTTTGAATAAGTTAAATATTTAATTTAAAAGACCACTTTTGTTTGTTAAAACAGCAGGCACCAGCAAATTCAACATAGACTCTGTTGCTCAGTGAGTTTTACAGGGCCCTTTTTCAAATGCCTGAACCACATTAAAAATAACTACAACCTGTCTTAAATAACTACAACCAGTCGTCAATACTTGTGAGCTGTCTAAAATATTTGAAATCAGTCATAAATGTGCAACCAGTCTTTAAAACCCTAGAGAGATGGTCTTGAATCTTCAAACTTGCCTCAGTGGCCAGTCTTAAGATGTACATGGGAAGTCCATCCATGGAGGGGACATATTTGTCCAGCAACAGAGGAAGGGTGTGGAGATGGCCGTCCTATAAAGAAATGTTAATTGTAATGATTATTATAACAACTGTGGAGCCTTTTTCTCCATTCTGTGCTCCTTACCATGAGAATCTCAGTACTATACCAAGTAAGCATATTTTTTTCAAGCTGCAGCAATCCTGACTGCCTCCCCCCCACCCCAATGGTGTAATTATGTTAGGAGCAGTTCAAGTGCTTTTATACCGATACTGTAACATGTAATAAACAATATAGTCTAGTGGGATTTTTGAAAAAGGGCTCTGCATAAGAAGCAAGGGGCATTTTGGGGTAAAAGTTGGGAACCAGGTTTATTAGCATAATTTTGGCATGCTGAATCCGATTTACCCGGTTCCCAAGCGAAATTTTACGTTTTTAACGGTCTAATTTGCAAAAAACAAAATGGCCGCCAGATTTCCAATTTTCTGCAATGTCTCTGTAACTAGACAGGCAAATATGACAAATGAAGTGTCCTTACCTATATTTTCAGGGTCGAGGAACAACATTAAGATATTTCTGTTAGAATTAGGTTTACCCAATTTTCCTAAATATGCAAATTAGGACCGCCATTACTGAAAAACCGTTTTACTTCTGTATCTCTGCAACTAGGCAAGCAAACATGAAACACAAAGTGCCCACACCTATGTTCTCAGGGTCAGGGAATGTGATAAATCAGATGTCTTGTCTGAGGGGTCGCACTGACTTTGTGCGTCGTGTCCGAGAAGCACCTTTGATTGTTTCTTCCCTGTATCTGTCAAACACAACGTCAATCTGCTGATAGTTAGAACCTGCCTTCAGAGCTGCTCTTACGTATGAGTCAGCAAAACCACCAAAAGTCACTTCATTGTCAGGCTTTCCCAGTGAAACTACCATTGCTTGCCCATCAATTGTTAGGCAAGGCAAAGAGTCATTCAGTTCAGTTTCAGCAGGGCAGACTACGTCTTCTGTTAACATTTCTGCTAATACGAATTTGTTTCCGGTGCACAGTGTACCATTCATTTCAGCAAGTGATGCAGGGACCGGGAGAAGTTCATGCTTAAAGAGAGACGGCAAGTCAACTGTCCCATTTGCCTCGTAGGACCCCCCTGTAACTCCCCTAAATCTGCCACTGCACCTTGAATCTCATGAAGACCAAGAGCAATGCATCCTCGTCCTGATTGAGTAGCTTCACTTTGAAAACGCACACTGCTAGGAAAGTGGCTGAACATAGCAAGCGCTTCAGTTGCATACAAAAGTGTCCATCAACAAAGTGCTGATGTTGTTTTTGTGATACCTATGATTCCGCCTCCTTTCTTTAATAAATTAACTTTTTCTTTAGAAAAGTTGATCACATATGTCAATTGTGGTCAGCTATATGTATAGCCAGGTGTGTCGGTTATTGTTCGTTAGGCTGCTTTATCTGAAGCGCGGTTATATTAGGTAATATGTGGCAGTTTCTCTGAGCAGTCCTCTTTGGCTGGTTACAGAATTCGTATAAAAGGCATCAATTCAGCAGAATAAGTCTTCATATTTCGGTAATACCCAGTCAGAAGAGTTTGATGTTTTGCAGAATCTTAGCTGACCTTATGGTACGTGAACTAATGGCAGCAACTTGCCACACTATTGTTGCATTATGCCAGAATGGGCAGAAGCAAACTGCTATTGCCAGACAGCTGAATGTATCCCAGGGAGCAGTTTCTAGTCTTACAGAGACCACGACCAGGACGTCTTAAAGTCACCACCAGAAGGGAAGACCGCTTGCTTCTGCAGTTATGTAGCAACAACCGGACAAAAACACCAGTGCTCTACAAAATGAGTGGCAAATTACCATTCAAAAGCTTGTTACTAGAACCCAAGTGAACGCAAGGCTACTTT